CGCGCCGCCATCTGAGAGACCGTCTGAGAGCGACGCGCCGCCTCGCCCCGCGATTGGAAGAGGTCGTCAGGCATCTGCTTCACACCTGACCTCGCCGAGGCGCACGCGGCGCGTCGTGCACGGGGAAAGGGAGGGGGGGGGGGGCGACCCTCGGCCGGACGAGGAGATCCGGGACGGTCCGACGCTTCGTGCCGCCTACGGCTTCGACCTGTGCGGTTTGTCACGGCTGCAAGCGAGTTTGTAGTGATCTCGTGTCGCTCGTGTGTGAGGACACCGTATATGTGGAGTCTTGTTGTTACACTTACAGTGGTAGGAGGATGGAGTTGAGAGAGCGATCATTCGATCCCGCAAAACGACACACACGACAAAACGTGTGTGCGGGCGGGAACGCCAACGCATAACAGTTAAGACGGGCACGCTGCGGCGCGCAATCTAATGATAAAGGGCCAGCACCCATAGAACCTCGACGGCCGTCGCTGTCTGCAGCCTGTAAGCTGAGAGGCTCAGCTCAAGACAAGAAGCCGAGGTCGCCACCAACAATCTTGGCCTTCTTGACGAGGGCCCCGCGCATCTCGCGCGCCACGCCGTAGGTTTCGCAAAACTCGGTGATCGCCTGCGCGTGGTACGTGATGAGCTTGCCGCGCACTTTGTTGAGCAGCTTCTCGCCTAGCACGACCTTGCCGGCTAGTACCACCGGCGTGAAGGGGCCGTCGGGCGCCATGTTGCCCATCATGGCCGGGGCGGGAGACCGGCAGGCGGCCACGCTCGCTCGGCACCCGACAGAGAGCGCGCTGCTCGCCGCGCACAGCAGCAGGACAACCAGCGAGCGGATCATCCACAGGACACCGAGAGCAGCGAAGGCGTGGGAATCCGAAAAAAAGTAATTTGCTCGCGACGCCGGTGCCGGCGGCATGAAAACTGCACAACCGACTCGCCACCCCCAGCGCGTGAGGACTCGCATATGGTGACTCGGAAATGCTCCCTCACACAGCAGACAGGCTCGACACAGGTGCGGACTGGCGCGTGCTAGCACTATCGCGGGCAAACCACGCCCGGCTTTTTCTTCATACTTGTGTGGGTATTGATGCCACGCGCACGCGACGTCATCGACAGCACGCACAGGTGCCGACATCCACCCTCGTCGTTCGTCGACAGGACCGTACCGCGTACCTCGGCAGGAGCTCATTGCTGCAAGATAAGAAATCAACCGCAAACTCATTTAATTCTCACTCATACACTCACTCACTACTTGGTCTTCAAAAATCTCTCTCTCACACTAAAAACTCATTCAACACACACACACACACACACACACACACACACACACACACACACACACACACACAGAGAGAGAGAGAGAGAGAGAGAGAGAGAGAGAGAGAGAGAGAGAGAGAGAGAGAGAGAGAGGAGAGGGGGGGGAGAGAGAGGGAGAGAGACGAGGGACTGAGCCAGCCCACGGCGCCGGTGTTTTACCGCTAATTCCCGTTCCGCCCGTCCGTCGGCCTCGAAGCCAGGCGAGAGCAAAGGCGATGGCGGGCTGCGGCCGCCTGAGGCTCCTCGGTGTGCTGCTGCTGCTACCCCTCGCCGCTGCCTTCACATGGCCATGGCAGAGTTCGCCCGATGATCGGGTGCGTTGCACTCGCGCTTGGACCGCGATGGGCGCCTAGGGTGGGCGACGGCTAGCGCACCACACACCTCTCCTTAAAATCCCTGTGTGGTGGCGGCGTGCCGTCCTCCCATCCCTCCCTTGGGTTGTCTGTTTTCTTTCTTTCTTTTCTTTGAAAGAGAGAAAGCGGATACGGGAAGAACCCAACCCACGCTCTCACATGACAAGCGATCCCACGACAGCGATCGATTGCCACGATCCCACGACAGCGATCGATTGCCACAATAAAAGAAAGAAATGCTCGCTCCGGCGGATACAGTGGGTTGCGGGCATTAAGAAAACGTAGCATTAAGAAACCACGCCGAGCGATTTCCGCAAAAATCTAAGAAACCACGGCGAGCCGCAGGCGCGGCCCCGAGAAAAGGCCGGACACGAATGCGAATGGGGAGCCCCAGCTCAAAATTTCTCTTCGCCTGCGGCGCGCGCACTTGTCACTTTCCAAGTCTGCGGTGTGTTCTGAGTGGAGTAGATGGAGGCGCGTGTGTGCGTCTTCCCGTCATCCAGAGAGCCGACTCGGCGGCAGACTCTGGCATCGCCCTCGCGGACCGCAGCTTACCTCTTACCTAAAAATCCTTCGGGCCGGCTCTCTCTGGCTTGAGTGCCGGCCGGAGCTAAGAAACCACGGCATGGGGTGGATGAGGGCTGTGGAAAGGCTTAGAAACGGCGGCGTGCCGCCAAATATTGTTTTCTTAATGCCCGCAACCCACTGTACACAACAGCGTCCCGAGCATTGGCACCTCCAGCGCCCTGCTGTGCACGCCAGCTTTTCTGCGCCAAGTGATACGATGATCAAGCAAAGGATGTGCTCATGGTGGCACGTCCCGCTGCTTCTGGTCATCCTGCTTCTCTCCCTGGTGCCCAACATGCACCGTCCGCTGTGGCGTTCGCGTGCTCCGGCTTTGCTCGGTGGCTCGCCTGACGGTGGCTCGCCTGACGGCTTGCCTTGCACTCTTGCGCTCACTGTTGCGGTTGTCCCGCTCGGCCGCATTCGGAGAGCGGCGCTGCAGCAACTGCTGTCCGATGCTGACCCCGATCTGGTCGCCGCGCCGGACGGTGACGATCGGGTGGGCAACCTCTCGTCTGCGGTGCACGCAGCTCTTCCGCACCACGGACGGCTGCTCGTTGGCAGTGGAGCGGCCGGCGTGCCGTCTCTGTGGGCGCGCCGCTCGCTGTTCGTCGAGGCTCCCTCGGCCCGAGAGCCGGCCGCGGGCCTCGCCCGCATCGCCTCGAGTGGAGCCTGCAAGGCGCGGGCTGCCATCGGCGCTGGGAGAAGCAACGACCTCCCGCGGTTTGCGGCTGCGGCGGCGGGGCCGCTCGTCGTCGGGCTCTCCATCTCCGCCGACGAGACGCCCACCGGGTGGCGCGAGATGTGTCGCCGCTATCACCTTCAGGACAGTCTCGAGGCGCTTGGCGCTCCGGCGGAGGCAACCAGCCCAGCAGACTCCAGCTGGCCACCGCCCCACCAGTCGGCGAGTGTCGTTCTGGGGGGCGGGGCGGTCGCTCTCGGCACGACGGTGTGTCGGCGCTGGCTTGGCAAGCAGGCGGAGCCGCCGGGGGCGCACTGGCCGCTGCTCGTCGCCGTGCGGCTCGAAGGAGTTGCGGCGCCGGCGGTGATGATGCCGTCGCCAACGCCAACGCCGCAGCCCGCTTCCGCCGGCGGCGGCGGAGGCAGCGGTGGAAGTGGCGCGGTGCCTGGTGCCACGCCCACTTGCGACGGTTGCTCCCACCAGGGCCGCTGCTACGACGCCGAGCGGTTCCCGCAGTTTGACTCGGCGAGCTGTGAACAGCTTGGCGGCGGGTGGAAGGGTGCAGCGGAGCGTCGGGCGGGTGGCGGTGCAGGCCCCGGTGCGGAGGGTGTGGGGGGTGCAGAGGGTGTGGGAGGAGGAGGCAGCGCCCAGGAGCGCCCGCCGGTGCGACGCAGGCTGGCGTGGCACGGCGCGGGCAGCTACGCGCTCACCTCTCTGAGCCTCAACGCTTGGGGAGGGAACCAGCTCTCCCGCCGGAGAGGCTCGCTGCGAGATGCGTCGGGAGTCAGGGGGCGGGCTGCCGGCTCTGCTCACCCACGTGATGCGCCACCACAGGCTCGCTGGTCGCGACGCTAAAGACGTACGACGCCGACATCGTGTGCGTGCAGGAGTCGGTGGGGCTCGCGCACCTTCTGGGGGAGGCACTGCCGACGCACACGCGGATCCTCTCCGCCGCAAAGCCGCCGCCGGCGAGGAGCAAGCCCGCGGCTGCCAAGCCTCCGGCGGGCGCCGCGCCAAAGCTGCGCTTGCGCGAGACAGACTCGACGGTCCTGTTCCGCACGTCGGCTTTCGCGCTGCTGGGCGAGGGCGAGGCGCCGCTCGGGAGCGGGCGCACCCTCGCGTGGGCTCGCCTTGCGCCGCACGCCGTCGGGCCGGGTGACCCGCCCACCCTCCTCGTCGGGAGCCTGCACTCCTCCTCTCGGACCTGCAAGTATGCGCGCTGAGCGGCGCTTTCTTCTCACGGCTTCCACACCTCCGAGTAGGCACCTCCTGCACCCGGACGAGCCGGTCGAGTACGAGTCCGGGCGCAGCCCCCGGGTCGGGCAGACGCGCGCTCTGCTGCGCGTCGTGAGAGAGCTCGGCGGCGGGCGCGCAGAGCCCGTCCTGCTGATGGGCGACTTCAACGACCCGCACTTGCCCCGCTGGCACTTGCGCGCGGCCGGGTGCGCCCCGCGCCTCTGCAGCCTCCGCCACGTCGCCGCCTCCACCCCCCTCACCGCCGCCGCCATCCCCGCCGCCGCCCTCGCCGCCCCGGTCAGGTACGTCGACGCCTTCACCGCGCTCGGCGTCACGCCCGAGCCAACCTTCCCCGCTCACCCGCTCGCCACGTGGGACCTCATGTACCCGCACGTCGTGCTCGACTTCGCAATGGCGCGTCGCCGCACAACCCGCGCACCGTGCACTCCCACGCAGCTACACCGCGCTCTCACGGCGGCCCCGGTCGCGCGTCGCAGGCGCGCCGCATGCGGCCGCTCGCGGCGCAGGTGCTGCGGGCGGCGCCGGGAGGGGAGCCGCCGTCGGACCACTGGCCTCTCATCGCGGCGTGGGCACCGCTCGCGCCGGACGCGACGCCGCCGCCGCTGATGGCGAGCTACGACCCCGCCACGCTGCTGCTGCCGCCCGCTTACCGCAGCTGCGGCGGCGCGCGCTACGACGACGAGCGGCGCAGCGGCAAGCCCAGGTGGCGGGTCGCCGCCTCGAGCGCGGTGCGCGGGCACGACTACGGCTGCCCCGAGGGCCTTGACCTCGCCGCACTCTCCAATGCGAGCTCCAAGGCGCAGCGCAAGGAGGCGGCGGCGGTGTGCCGGGTCTGTGCGGCGGCCGCCGTCGCCATTTGCGAGGCGCATGGCGAGCGCTGCGCCGGCTTCGAGCTCAACGGCGCGCAGCTGGTCGCCACCCTCAAGGGCGCGCCTTGCTTGCGACAGGTCGACACCGGCAACACGGTGGTCGTCAAAGTCGGCGCCAAGAATGACGCGTGCAGCGCGCCGCAGGCGGGAAAGCCGCTTACGGCAAAGGCGGCGCCCGGGAGGTCGCGCGGCACAGGCTGGGTGGTGCCAGCGGTGGCGGAAGCGGCTTTAAACGGCAGCACAAGCAGCACACCACAATCTGATTCTTATTATTACTCTTCTTATTCTTAGCACGGTACGTCGAGTTTGCATGGATAGCCGTGATGATTGCGCGCGGACGGACGAGAGAGTCCCAGAGGGAGATATCGTAAAGCCATCCCCCCCAGAGATAACGCAGAGGTCACAGCGCACATTCGCTCGGCCTCCGGGGGCGCGCGCGATATGCGCGGCGCGCACCTATAGTGAGAGCTGTGTGCGCTGTGTGGCGCGGCTTCTGCATAGTTGTTGGTTTCACATCTGCACGCGAGACACAACGGCCGCAGCCAAGCATGCGGCCGAGTCAACTAGCAGCACCGTCTCGAGCTTGAGGAGACAAGGCCCAGCTTTAGTGGCGCCGGCGGCGAGCAGGGCGGGGTTTATGTCAGTGCAGGCAACTATGACAGTGGGTGTCGCCTCGCAGGACGTTGGGCTCTGTGTCAGCTGCGCCACTAGAGAGCACACAGAGGCTGAAGCCGCAGCGATGTTGCCCTCTTTCACGCTCGTGATCAGCGCTGAAACGGAAGGTTGTTGCTGCTCCGTGACAGCTGAGTTGAATGCCTGATTCAGCCCGGCCTGGTATATACCGCTGCGCACCGTTCCGGGTGTGGCCCAGAGCACCACATCCCTCTCCCCGGCTGGCAGAGAGGCCAAAGTTGCCTCAACGATACCGACCCAATCGACTCCTGGCGGCCTATTTGGCCCTTTCGCCGACACATATGCGTGAGCTGAGTTGCACGGCATGCAAATTACATCCAAGCAGGTTTCCGTGGACAGCAAGCGCTGAAACCCAGCAGCGATTGCGGCGCGCATTGAGTCATCATAGTCAGAGCCCTCACCGTACACACGAAAAGGAGTCGGCCAGGAGAGGATGTGCATGGGAGGGAAGTCGTCATCCTGCTGGCAGCCTAGCTGTTCTTGACACGCAGTCACCAGGAGATCAATAAACGGCGCTGTGCTGCGAGGGCCCATCCCCGCCAAGACCCCAATGCCAGTCATGATTCGGTTCGCGGAGCGCTTCAGTGATTTCGCGCGAGGACAACGCGTTTCGGCGGCGAGAAAGATTCCGTTAAGGTTCGACACTTGGGCTGGCAGTATTCTTTTGTACCCGGGTATGCAGCTCTTACGTACATTCCCGGAGGAGGACTGCTTTCGTCTAGGCTCGGCCTTTTCTTTTCCAAGGAAAGGTGTGTGAATCCCCCCATCCCCAGGGCCTCAAGGGCTCGCACCTCAACCTCTCATAGACCAGCGCACAGCGCCATACGACGTATTTTCTTTCAAGAACAAGGCTGTGAAACCCGGCGCGCCGGTATTTGATTGAACTTCTGCATTCAAGTGCGCTCAACGTCCGGACCGATGTGGTGCCTACCGTGCGTCGGTGCGAGTTTGGGCCCTCCACTGCCAATGCCAATGCCGCCGGTGCCGACGCCCATGCCGCCAATCCCTACGCCCGTGCCACCACAGCCACCGCCCTCGCCGACTCTGCCGCCGCCGCCGGCTCCGCCACTCCCAGCACCTCTGCCTCCGAACCCAGACCCCTCGCCACCGCCCTCGCCGAAGCCACTGCCGCCGGCATTCACTCCGCCTACCGACTCAGCATCTCTGCCTCCGACGCCGGACCCCTCGCCGCCACCACAGCCACCGCCCTTGCCGACTCTGCCGCCGCCGCAGGCTCCGCCACTCCCAGCACCTCTGCCTCCGAACCCAGACCCCTCGCCACCGCCCTCGCCGAAGCCACTGCCGCCGGCATTCACTCCGCCTACCGACTCAGCGCCTCTGCCTCCGACGCCGGACCCCTCGCCGCCACCACAGCCACCGCCGCCGGCTCCGCCACTCCCAGCACCTCTGCCTCCGAACCCAGACCCCTCGCCACCGCCCTCGCCGAAGCCACTGCCGCCGGCATTCACTCCGCCTACCGACTTAGCATCTCTGCCTCCGACGCCGGACCCCTCGCCGCCACCACAGCCACCGCCGCCGGCTCCGCCACTCCCAGCACCTCTGCCTCCGAACCCAGACCCCTCGCCACCGCCCTCGCCGAAGCCACTGCCGCCGGCATTCACTCCGCCTACCGACTCAGCATCTCTGCCTCCGACGCCGGACCCCTCGCCGCCACCACAGCCACCGCCGCCGGCTCCGCCACTCCCAGCACCTCTGCCTCCGAACCCAGACCCCTCGCCACCGCCCTCGCCGAAGCCACTGCCGCCGGCATTCGCTCCGCCTACCGACTCAGCGCCTCTGCCTCCGACGCCGGACCCCTCGCCGCCACCACAGCCACCGCCCTCGCCGACTCTGCCGCCGCCGCCGGCTCCGCCACTCCCGGCACCTCTGCCTCCGAACCCAGACCCCTCGCCGCCGCGTTCGCTGCTTCGATCTGACCATGTTCGTGCCTGCTCCTTCTCACTCAAGATTGGCAGCGCCAACCGTCGCCAGCGCGCTCTGGAGGCCATCGATCACGACCTGGTTGGGCTCGCCATCGTATCGTCCCTCGCCAGCGCTGGCACGATCATCACACTCCAGCAGATGGTATTGGAGGACCTAGGCGATTACCGTTTGGAGGTGACCATCCTACCGGCCGCCGGTGGGGCAACTGCCGAAGAAATCACTGCCGCTGCTGTTGACACCAGCTTCCTAGATCGCATGCGAGATATACTCGGCGTGTCGGTTGAGTTCAGTGCTCCGCCCGCCGTCGTTGTCCTGAAAGCTGAGACGGACGACAACAGTGGTGGTAATCACAGTGTGGTTTGGGCCGTTGTCGGAGTCGCCTGCGTCCTCGCGGCTCTCAGCCTGCTCACCACGTTCTTCGCATGGAAAAGGAACGCCTTTGGCACCTGGCGCCTGCGACGAGTCTCACGCCCTGTGGAGGGTACAACGCTGGGTGGCAAGACAGATTTCTCCTCCCGAATTGACGTCCCACTGCCGATAGACGTAGCCGACCTCGAGAGCGCAACCATCGCCGACATCGTAAGGCGCCTATCCGGCGTCGGCCTTGAGACGCCGGTCGGTTCGCCCGTGAGGCGCGCCAAACGCGCCCCGAGACCCGATGGTGATGGCTCAGTAACGTTGAGCCCGCGAGCTTTGCCGTGGAGCTCCCCGCTCCGGCAGCGGCAGAGTCGACTTTCGCCTAGGGTGGCAGAGCAAGCAATCCGCATCACCGACAGTCCGGAATCTGGCGCGCACTGCGGATGAGCGATGCACGTGTGACTGACGCCACGGCACATGTGATGCTCGTGGCGGCGAGCATGGGACTCCCCCACTCCCCGAACGGAGAGGCGGGAGGGGTACACCACTATGATTGGGCGGCTCCGGAACGCTGCTCTGCCGCTCTGGCTGTGTGAGCTGTGAGCCGGAGAGCAGTGTGCATGCTGCCATATGAGGTGTGTGGTCAACTCTCTGTTGGGGTGGGGCGTCGGAGAACGGCGACCAGCTCAAGAGGCGCGGCACTGCGCTCGCGGCTCTGGCGGCGGCGCGGGAGACCGCCATCGCCACCGGCACAGCGTCAGCCTGTGGCACAGGCCGGACAGCGCCAGCGGGGGTGGACCGGGGCGCGGGGGGCGGAGGTTTAGAGGAAAGTTTTCCTACTTAATCCTACTCTAAGGAGGGGGGAGCTGGGGAGCGTTGGAGGGCTTTGGTGTCCTAGAGGGCCGTTTTGTGTTCGGTGTACACGTTGAGGGTGAAAACATATGGATATGCTCGTAACCAGATGCACTATAATGAAGTCTAAAATGTCCCTCATGCTCATCCGTCATCGCACACACAAGGATCAAGGTGAGTAATGTGTGCAGCACATCGGAGCCGGACGCGCTCTCAACAACTGCACCGCACTGGAGACAGGCAGGGGAGGGAGACAACACGAAGCTCTGCGACGGCCACCGGGCCACTCCCGGACTCGGACTGCATAAAACGCGCGCCTCAAGGCTCTGCCTTGGGCGTCTCGAGGCGCGCCACCGCCCGCTCCACCAACGCCATAAGCGGCGCCCTCTCGGCACCGCTCAGCGTCTCGACTCGCTTGCCGTGCCGAAAGACGCAAAAGGTGGGCATCGTGGTGATGCGCAGCTCGGTGGCGCACTCCTCCATCTCGTCGACGTCCAGCCGCGCGAAGAGCAAGTGCGAGTGCCGCGCGCACAGCGCGGCAAAGACGGGCGCCACCGCGCGGCAGGGGGCGCACCTACAGCGAGGGAATCCTGGTGTGAGGGCGGCGACTCCCGCGGAGAGGGCGTTGGCTTTGGTGAGGGCGCACACCATGCCGCGTCAAACTTGACCACGGCCGGCGTCTCCATCGACGCCTGCAGCATCATCCGCCAGTCCTCCTCGTTGCGCAGAGCCACGACTTGGTGGTGAGCCGCCGACGGCGCGGCGGCGGGGGCGGCGAGGGCGGCGGCGGCGGCGGGAGCGGCGGCGGCACTGGCAGCGGTCGCGGCTAATGTGGCCTCGGCCGCGGCGGTTCGCAGCACCACCATCTTGCCCTCCACCTCCACGTCCTCCAGCCGGCGCAGCTTGCGCCGAAATACTCTCCGACACTCCTCCTCCCGCCCTGGCAGCTGTGCCGCCTCGGCCGTGCCCGCCGCCGCGTGCGCCGCGAGCACGGCGCCACGCAGCCGCTTGAGACGCATCGCGCCGCCCGCACTGCCGAGCGCCTCTCGGATGGCTCGCCTCCAGCCAAACGCCGCTGCGGAAGCGGTGGAGGCGGCGGCGGCGGCGGTGGCGGCGGCGGCGGTGGCGGTGGCGGCAGCGGTGCCATCGCTGGCGGTGGCGAGGCGTCGACACAGCTCGGCACGGATCGGCTCCGGAGGGAAGACGGCAACTCCCTCACCAACCGAGCTGCCAGACGTGCCGTCCCGCAGCGCCCGCGTGCAGGTGTCAGCCACGGCCCACTCGCAGGGAGCGGCGCCGTGCCAAAGGTCCTTGATCTCTGGGAAAACGCTGGCGTCGAGTAACTCGCACCAGCTCGGGCTTGGGCTGGACATGCTTCGCCCGCGCGTCTGAGCCTGGTCTGAGCGCACAAACGAAGACAAGGCAGGCGGAGCAATTTCTTCTTC